AATGACAAGACTCAAGACAGTATTTTTTGTAGTACCTACACTAGGTGTTCTGCTGCTAATAGTAACTATACATGTTAATATAATTACTACCATAAATATCAATAAAAAGTAAAGGTTTATAGGTGTAAACAATAATCTCAGACAAGGTACAAAAAGTATGCACTTATTGTTTTAAATAGATCTTTCTTTTTCTTTATTTCTCTCTCTCTCTCTCTCTCTCTCTCTCCCTCTCCCTCTCCCTCTCCCTCACCCTCTCTCTCTCTCTCTCCGTATTTTGGGAAAAGAACCTTTTTTACGTTTTTTTCTCTTCTTATTGTTACTCTTTAAGATAGATAGGAGAAACTACCCTGATTTTTATTTTTATTTGTAGCAATCATTCGTTTCTCTTTTCTTTGTTTTTTTGTCTCCCATACACTCTTTACGTCTCTTTACTCATTGCTTTATTTTTACAACCTCCTCATTATTTCTCCCTCACTTTATCTTTATTTATATCTCCCTTCGTTCTTTTTTCCCTATTTCGTTCGTTTTCCTTTTCTCTCTCACCTTATTTTGCCAAAAGAACATTTTTTTATGTTTTTTTTCTCTCTTCTTATTGTTACTCTTTAAGATAGATAGGAGAAACTACTCCGATTTTTATTTTTATTTGTAGGAATCATCGTTTCTCTTTTCTTTGTTTTGTCTCCCATATACTCTTTACGTCTCTTTACTCATTGCTTTATTTGTACATCCTCGTTACTATTTGTTCTCCCTTAGTTTTTCTTTATTTATATCTCCCTTCTTTCTTTTTTTCGTTCTTTTCCTTTTCTATCTCTCCGTATTTTGTCAAAAGAACCTTTTCTTTATGTTTTCTCTTCTTATTGTCACTCTTTAAGCTAGATAGGAGAAACTACCCTGATTTTTATTTTTATTTGCAGAAATCATCGTCTCTCTCTCAGTCTTTTAATTCTTTTTTATTGTTATAATTTTTAGTAGCAACCTATGTTATATTAAGTCGCCATTACACATATATGCTTGTTGCTCTCTCTCTCTTGTGCTCAGGTAACAGCACTCTGAGAATTAGGGTCACTGGAGGCTGTCCACAAGGAGGTTGTTTATCTCCTCTATTGTGGTTAATCACAGTAAACAGCTTATTAGAGCTTCTGAATAACTCAGGCTTCTATAGCCAATTATATTCAGACGATGGTACCATAATGATCACGGGTAAGGATCCTCTGACTCTATCACTACTGATGAAGGAGGCGATGGGGTTGCTAACCGGATGGTGTGGTGACAAAGGTCTTTCGATAAATCCTGCTAAACTGGAACTGGTAATGTTCAGCAGGAGAAGATCAATAGGCAATTTTAAAAACCCAAAATGTCAGGGTATTGAATTAAAATTAAAGGATTCAATCAAATTCCTAGGGATAATGCTAGATAGGAAACTTGATTGGACAGGCCACATCAAAAATATACATAGGAAAGGCACTATATCCAAGGTGCAGTGTAGGAGAATCGTTGGTAGAACATGGGGTATTAAACCATGGGTGGCCAAATGGATATACAACGCGATCATACTACCAAGATTTATATTTGCAGCCCTAGTTTGGTGGAATGGGCTAGAAAACAAAGGGGCTATTAACAAGCTAAGGTCATTCCAAAGACTAGGTTGTATGATGATGACGGGAGCTTTTCCCACTACACCAACCCTAGCTTTGGAAGTGATAACAAACACCACACCTCTACACATTGAGGTCAAGGTTAAAGCACTAACCAGCTGCTATAGATTAATTAGTGAAGGCAGCTGGAACCATAAGGGAAATAATATAGGACACTCGAAAATTTTACATTTATTGAGTAAGGTCAACAACCAACTACTGGGTGTAAGCGATAAAAAGGTGAAAACACCTTTAGGGAAAAAATACTTTCAGGTAGTCACTCCCTGTGACTATAACTATAGGTCTGATGATGACCATCGTATAGACTGCTTCACCGATGGCTCACTCATTAAGGATAAGGGAAGCGGTGCTGGAATACACATACCTAAATTAGGGATCAGCATCTCCTCTCCTCTTGGTAATAACACCTCGGTCTTTCAGGCAGAGGTCTGGGCCATCAATGTTTGCTGTAGAACACTTATGGATAACAAGATTAAGGGAAAAGATATTAAAATTTTTCCGACAGTCAGGCCAGTCTAAAATCATTACAGAAAGAACTATCAACATCTAGACTGGTAGAGGAAACCGTTGAACTCATTAATAGGACTATCACCAGGTATGAGAATAGGGTAACCCTCATATGGATACCTGCTCATAAGGGGCACTATGGCAATGAGGAGGCGGACAGTCTGGCCAAGGAAGGATCAAATACTGCGTTTGTCGGGCCACAACCGGTATTACCCCACTCTATAAGCACAGCGAAAGAGAGTATTAGTTGCTGGGGCAGGAAACAATTCCTTAAGGAATGGAATATGTCCCCCGGATGCAGGCAATCGAAGGAGTTTCTGAAGGAAATCAAACCACCCCACGATGAGGATTGTCTAACCGAGATAGTCAGGGAACTCATAACATATTGTGAGGATAAAAATATAGGACTTATACTGGGCTGTGATGTAAATGCGTATAACATAGCATGGGGCAGCTCAGATAATAATTCAAGAGGTGATACATTCCTGGAATTTATAGTGAGTAAAAACCTATCAATCCTGAATGTAGGCAATACTCCCACATTTATAACAAAAAATAGAAGGGAGGTCTTGGATATCTCACTAGCCACCGTGCGTAGTGCCAACTGGGTAAAGGGGTGGAGGGTGACACCAGGTAAGATCTCCTCAGGTCATTGTTTAATAGATTTTTGGATCTCAGGAGAAGTTGAAAAAATAAGGTTTAGAAATCCAAAACAGACAAATTGGGACTCCTACAACAATAATATTAATAATAATATTGCTTTTCCAAAAGTTTAAAAATTCGAGCACTTTCCTTAATATTCTCTGTCTTCAGACAATATTCCCTCCAGGCCTTTCGTTTGGTTTTCCTCAACTCTTTTTTGTATTCTTTTTTTCATGGAGAGATATTCTCTCCAAGACAGCTCAGAGTTCTCCTGCAGGGCTTTCTTGTGTAAGAGTCTGACCCTTTTCCTCCGTACATGCAGAGTTAATGACCTGTATGATTTTGTTAGCAGCCTGCTCCAGCTCTGTTATGTTGGTAGGAGCAGGTGTACCTGCAATATTATTATTAATATTATTGTTGTAGGAGTCCCAATTTGTCTGTTTTGGATTTCTAAACCTTATTTTTTCAACTTCTCCTGAGATCCAAAAATCTATTAAACAATGACCTGAGGAGATCTTACCTGGTGTCACCTTCCACCCCTTTACCCAGTTGGCACTAGGCATGGTGGCTAGTGAGATATCCAAGACCTCCCTTCTATTTTTTGTTATAAATGTGGGAGTATTGCCTACATTCAGGATTGATAGGTTTTTACTCACTATAAATTCCAGGAATGTATCACCTCTTGAATTATTATCTGAGCTGCCCCATGCTATGTTATGCGCATTTACATCACAGCCCAGTATAAGTCCTATATTTTTATCCTCACAATATGTTNCGAGTCCTACTACATACGCGGATACTTTGGCCTTCCTCGGTAGGTCATTGATGTCACACACCACGTATTCCCTCTCTATCCATAATTTCTCTAGTGTGTCCCTGACAAACTTGACTGTAGCTTCATCGCCACAGCTTATCAGGAACATGGAGCCACCTTTTACCAGGCCTGAATTTACAAAGTCTACGCCTTGGTCTTCGTCCTCTTCTTCAATTAAGTCCAAGGCACTGTTGCAGATCAATGATCTCAGCTTCAGAGCCTCTTCGTTAGTGAAGAAATCCTTATTGGTTTTCCTGAAAACAACTTTATAGGTAGGTTTAGGAGTTGTTACCTGTTCGCTTACCTGACCCTGCCTTTGTTTTTTGGCAGGTCCTGTTGCAGAGGGAGGGGTATTGGAGTACTCCGCCCTGCTTCTTTTAGTACAGTTCCCCAGTCTCTTTTGGGCTGGGGTTGTACTCACCTGTGAGCCTCTTTTATGATTGAACCTGTCCTTGAACTGTGGCTGGACGGTTGATGTGGGCCCACTCCTACGAGGGTTGAGGCGATTTTTGCTGTGTGTATTTCTGGATCTCACGCCTCTCTTCCCTCTTTTTACCAGGGTGAATCCTTCGTCCGGATCACCCTGTACCTTACAGAGAGCATCCTTATCTCCTTCACAGCGCTCCAAAGCGGTGGAGCCGGTGGATAAAGGAGTACTCTCCACTATTTTAGCAGTCTTCTTCTTCGTTGTCTGTTCCATCTCGTCCTTTTTCCGCCTCCTCTCCTTCTCCAACTCCTCGGGGTGCTCATCTGAGTGGAAAACGTCGGTTAAATCGAAAAAAAAACGTGATTTTGAACGCCGGTTAGCACGTGGCTATATTTGACCGTGTTACCTTCACGCGGTTCACCGCTCAAGTCCCTAATATATACATACTAGCAATAATAATAATAATTGTAAAATATGTGAAGTATGAGTAATGGATGTTTTGAATTTATGGTGAATTATGGATGGATGTAGATTGGTTAAAATGACAAATTCGTTCATCTTGGTAAAAACTCGGCATGTTGGAGTTTATAGATCTGGGTTTAGTTTTTTATAAGTTAGCTTTTAGATGTAAGTATATCCGAGCGGTCTTATAACAGTCACAGGTAGTCTAAAATTTGGTCTCTAGGGTGTAATATCACACAAAATGTTGAATTGTGTAGAAAAAACTATGATGATGTTACGATACTATGGCATGTTTTTACAATTTTGTGTAACTTTAATTACTTTAAGTGATTATTAACGATGATGTCATTCTTCGTTTTTTAAAGTTCTATCATTACTTGCCCTTAAAGTTTAATACAAGTCGTTCTCCTCTAAGAGGGCGACTTTATTCGTTGTAACTTTACTTTTAATATGCGTCGACGATTACAAGAATTTCATTATTTATATTTTTCAGAGCAAGAAGATGGGATGGGGCTCAGATGATGGCAGAAGTTTCTTCGACCAGGTTAGATATTTTTACTCCCTCTTTCTTCTTCTTTTCCTTTTCCTTTTACTGCTTTCTATTAATACAGATTTATTGCTGGTAAAAGTATAAAAATACTGTAAAAATACTCAGCGATTTAATATAATGCTTGGGTCGGTTGTTGGCACTAGTTTTAAAAATAAAAGTTGTGAAAATTATACTTCACTGCTTAAGACAGTTTTATTTATTTTTTAATTGCTCAATCCAACACTAAGTTTTTATAGATTACTATATCTTACACCTAAATGAGCGAAAAGATACATTGGATATGTTGCACATATTATTTTATCTTCATCGTTTCGTTTGTTTTAATTTTTTAGAGTTATGTTTATTAATTTACAAAATCACACCCTATTGTTTCATCATGTGTTACACCAGAACGTTAGGATAGATCAAACAGATTTTTATGCTAAATGAACTCCAATATTTATTTTGCTCAGTTTTCCGTATAAATTTCGTCGTCTGGTGTATAATTTTCTCGATAAGAGGTGAGTGTAAATCATAACGCGTATAACTTCATATATATAAAAAAAATAAAATCAAATAGTGGAAATATCCGGAACGATACATTTCTCATTGGAGTAGAATCCTCGTGGAAAATTTTATTTCCTTATTCGCCTACATCCTCAACAGTTTTTCCAAGTCAAAGGGATATTCGCTTCTACACAAATCGGCCCAGAGGAAGTTTCGCTATCAAGATCTCTTCTAAAGAAATTTGACTTCAAGATGTAGAAGGAAATGAAAGCCACTAGCCAAAAAAGGGGCAGCCCTCTCACTCATGTGACCAGAACCACAACTAGGTGTACCCGAGTGTGTGTGCTTAATTTGGAAATTGAAAAATATCTCGGGAAAGAAAAACTCAAGCACTGGACAAAAGCTCCAGGTATGAAACTGTAAGCCATCCTAAGTAACTGATAGGGAACCTACCTGTTTATGCGTTTCTGCATGCAAAACGAGGTAGGTTCTAGGCGCATTTAAAAATTGTTTAAATATTTTTCAAATTTTACAAAACAATATATTTTATAAATTTTTAGAATTTTGCTATATTTTTAAAGTATAAAGACTGAGGGTGAGGCGGAAACACCGGAAATCGATCTAAACAAATAAATGATTAGAAAAGAAGGCGAGTATTTTTACCATCTCAACATCCACCCTAATAAAAACAAGACAGATTTCTATAGGTTTTACTTCAATTTGATTTTTTTAAACTAATTTTTCGCTACTGGGGATTTTGAAGGTTTGGAATGTTTCGAATTAATTCTTGTACTTTTAGGATTTGAGTAAAGTAGGTATGTTTATTTTTGCACAGTTAGCCCAAAAATTAGGCCTAAAACCTACCAATTGACTTGGAATGAAGATTTTTGATATATTCTGACAATTTACAATTTAGTTTACTTAGCTTATAGAGTTCAAATGGCTAATGGCACAAATTTCATAGTCGATATATATGATACAATGTTGTTTTTAAAAAACTACTAAATAAGTTAAAGGCCCAAGTGTGTTTAGAATAATTTATAATTTAGTGGAATTGGGGGGTTGTTTAACTCCGCCTCGATGAATATCGAATACTCTGGGGTGAACGTGTGACGTCTGGATAGTAAAGTAAGTTATTAGCGAGAATGAAGTGGGTGCAACCCCGCTCCGAATAATGTCGACTACTCTAGGGGAATGAATGTGACCAGACGTCTATGTTTATATCGGGTAGTGATGTGTGTGTGGATGTGGACAGTTTTGTGTCTATTTTGTAAGTGACAGCCTGAAGTACAAACGATAGGCTACCATTGTAGGATACTGACATAGTATACTTAAAAAAGCAGCCAGTTCGAGACGCTGAAATGGCTGTAGTTTAAAACAAAATACGAATGAAAGAACAGAAAAAGAACAAAAATAGCAGAGGGCCGGCGACGACCTCAACTGTTTGTATATAATGAAATTAACTGTTCGTTAAATCAGGAGTTAAGTCTTACAGTGTTGTAGTTGTGAAATTAGGAGTTAAGTCTTACAATGTTGTTGTTGTGTTTTTCATCGGTCGACATTTATCCTGGTTGATTTGCGATCCTTTGTTTGTGAACTTTCGCCCATTAAAGATCAACCCGAAGAAACTCGAAGGGTGGGCGAAAGTTGAAATCCTTCGCGTCATGTCGTTTTTTTTTCCTCCCTGTCCCGAATCCATTCGCTAATAGCCGATAAGGGCTCGGATATCACAGCGTGACAAAGACAACCTAGCCCATAGCATTGTTTCTGAAGAAGACGAGCGTGCTCGGGCATCTCCTCTAATTGACAACCGTCACCCTTAACTAAATAAATAACCAATTCAACTCCTACCTTAACCAACGCTTACCGGCCACTTTTACCCCATGCTAAAAGCCTTCCTTATCGTCGGGAATATAAATTAAAGAATATCCCAGGAGAAATCGCGAACCCGGTAGACGCTCTACTTCATTTTATCTCTTAATAAGGACTCCTCGACATAACGTCAAACCATTAGATGATAATAGCTTAATAGCTCAAATGAGGAAATACTCAATTGAAAAAATATTTGCTCATGCTTCCTCGGAATCTCTTTTTTATTCACATTTTATTTTTTTTTAATTATAAATTCCTCCAAGTATAGGATTTAAGCTTCGAAGGTTTTCTACTTTTTAATAATAAGCGGTGATTCAATCGTTTTTTTCAGTGAGCAAATCAAATTCTCCTTGACCAAATTACCGCGGCATCAATAAACAATATTGTCCAGTCTGTATTAAAGATGAAAAATCGGTCATATCTGGATAGTTAGATAAATTATATTTATTCTCGTAGTAATATTACATACATGGCGGTTGTGCTTCACAAGGGGGATCTTCCCTTGGCAAGGTTAACATCCGTGAACTTCGTGCTTACTATTACAGACACTTCTTTTGACCGGCAAAAATGTAAAACAAAAACAGTATGTACAAGTATTGAATTTTGAAATTATATTCTTCGTTTGATCTCATGTTAAAATATAAATAGCTTTATTTATGTATTATTAAAATCTTTAAATATAATAATATAATAAAATGTAAATAAATAAAAAATTATGAGTTTTAAAATTTAAAGAAGTTTTTAAAAAATGAACAAATAAATTTGTAATTTGGATAATAAATAATAATAGTAAGACAAAATGAGTAAGTAAATTTAAATTTATATTTCTCACAATCAATAGATATATAGTTTCACGACCAATATTAGTCTATTGTGCCATCTTCACTATTGTCTAGAACTCTCTATATTAAGGCTTTTTACCAGATCCCAAAGAATAGGATATTTTTATCTAAGGTAAAAAAAGTACATTTTTTTAAGTATGTCAGGTTTGAATGCAGGGCCGCTGGATTCGAACAGGAGACCTTTCCCTTACAGCAATGAGCCCGGGTCAACGCCTAAACCGTTGTCCACTGACGGTAATTTCTCTGTCTCTTTCTTCTTGGCAATATCTGCACACGTTTATTACTATTGCTTCATCTAAGTTAGGGTTGTTAATCCCTTGAACTTTATGTATGTGGGCTTATTCCTATGCATAAACACACGGAAAAAGTAAAAGTAAGTGAGTATTCCAATTAATTATTATTTTTATCTAAGGTCTTTGATTGAGATGAAAAAGGATCAATTCGCCTACGCTCTAACCAATTGAGCGTTCGTGAACATGAAATCACGATAGCTCAAGTGGTTAGAGTAGCGGCATATTGAGCCGAAGGTCGTGGGTTCGAATCCGCTTTTGTCACCAACTTTTTCATCTCAATCAAGACCTGAGATAAAAAAATAATTAAAAAACGAAAAAGATTCTGTCAGCTAAGTTGCGCTTAATCTATGATTTAAATATTTTATTTTAATAATTCCCTAAATGCAAAAAATGTCCTAACTCAAATGAAAGCTCAAGTGGTTAGAGCAACGGCGTATTGAGCCAAATGCTGTTAGTTCGAAGCCCGCTCGTGACACCAATTTTTCATCTTAACCAAAAACCTTAGATAAAAATAATAATTAATTCGAACAATTAATATGGTCAATTCTGCCCACTATACAAATATGGATTAACGTAAGTAAGTATTAAATTCACTAATTTCGTGGTCCGCTTGACCAATTAATACATTACAATTAATTAAGGTTTTTAGTTGAGATGAAAAAAAGTTAATGGCATGAGCGGGATTCGAACTCACGATCTTCGGCTAGATACGCTAGATACTAAAAACCTTAATTAATTGTAATGTAATAATTGGTCAAGCGGACCACGAAATTAGTGAATTTAATGAATTACAATGAAGTACTTCACTAAAGCTCTCCGTGGCCATTTCATTTGTCGTCGAGAATCCAATCCGATTACACGACATTTGAAAAATGGCAAAAAGGAGGGAAAATTCATAAGGTGGGGTTGAGATAGGAAGTTGATGTCCGAGTGGATCGAGGCCACGATAGCTCAAGTGATAGAGCAGCGGCGTATCTAGCCGAAGATCGTGGGTTCGAATCCCGCTCGTGCCATTAACTTTTTTTCATCTCAACTAAAAACCTTAATTAATTGTAATGTAAGTATTTTGATTTATTTAGAATTGGGCGGATTTTTTATGACAAATAGAAAGCATAAAGATTATTTTTTGTAATAATATAAATAAAGTGGCCCGAAAATGAAAATAAATTGCGAAATTATCTTAAAAATGTTGTGGGAACAATACCGTTCATTAGATGAGCTATGACACAGATGTCCCTTCCCAGGAGAGGAAAAAAAGGAGTTCGTTAGAAAAACAAAATGGAAAAAACGGTCGAAAAAACAATGAAAGAGGGTGAGGGGTGATCTGAGGGCAATAATTAGACAGAAGGCTTATTAAAGGTAGAGTATTTGCTAGTATTTAATATGCAGCGGCCGAGATGGTAATGTACCCCTCACCCCTGGGGATGGTAGAGGCCCGTGGGGTGAGGACTTTTTTATTTACACTCCACCCATAGCCCTTCTTTATTTCACTAATGAATGA